CCTGGTTGTTACTTATTTCAAAAATTTGTTTAGTGATCCTATTACCAATTCTCTAAACCACTGGAGCAATCAAGCTATCTCCACTTTATCTAGTGATGATAATATTGATTTGTCCCAAGCTATTTCTGATATGGAGGTGAAGAAAGCTATGAATAATATCAAAGCTTTCAAAGCTCCTGGGAGAGATGGGTTTCAAGCTATTTTCTTTCACAAATATTGAGATATTGTTGGCCTTACTATTTGTTCCTTCATCAAAAATTGTTTCAACACCAATTCGATCCCTGAGGGAATCAATAGGACCCTTATTGCTCTTATCCCTAAGGTGGAGAACCCTGACAGGATCAAACAATTTAGACCTATTAGCCTTTGTAATGTTACTTATAAAATTCTTACCAAAATTGTGGTGGATAGAATTCGACCTCTCCTTGATAAACTTGTGCAACCTAACCAGAGTAGTTTTGTCCCTGGTAGAAATACCAAGGATAACATCATCATTGCTCAAGAAGCCATCCATTCTATGAGATTACGCAAAGGTAAGATGGGTAATATGATTTTGAAAATTGACCTTGAGAAGACCTATAATAATATTTCTTGGCATTTTCTGAAAGAAACTCTTATTGAATTTAAATTTAATGAGAACTAGGTGGAGTTAATTATGTGCTGTGTGACCTCAGTGCAAACCTCCATTTTATGGAATGGTGAAGCACTTGAGGAGTTTAGGCCCTTGAAAGGCCTAAGGCAGGGTGATCCTTTATCCTTATACCTTTTTGTTTTGTGCATGGAACGGCTGTCTAACATGATAAGCCGTAGGGTGGAGGAAAAGAAGTGGAAAGGCATCTCTTTTGCTAGAGGAGGACCTTGTCTTACTCATCTATTCTTTGCTGATGACTTACTGTTATTTGCTACTGCGGACACTAAACATTGTGCTACTATTACTAAAGTTATGAATGAGTTCAGTTTCATATCTAGACTTATGATTAACCTTCAGAAGTCCAAAATGTTTGTGTCCCCTAACATTGATCTAAGGCAGGCCAGAGATCTCAGTGCCAGATGTGGCATCCCTTTAACTTCTAACCTGGGTAAATACTTGGGTGTTCCTCTATTCAACGAAAGGGTGAGCCGGAGTCACTTTAATTACATTCTTGAAAATCTTCAAACTAAGTTGGCAGGATGGAAAAGGAGTGTTCTATCTTTGGCTGGTAGAGCTACCCTTGTGCAATCTGTTACGACTGCGCTACCTACTTACACTATGCAAACTTTGGAATTACCTATAAGATTGTGCAATGATATTGATAAGATCAATAGAAATTTTCTTTAGGGTGATACCCTAGAGAAAAAGAAAATCCATCTTGTCAATTGGAATGAGGTTTGTAAAAAGAAGAATTATGGCGACCTTGGCATTAAAAAGGCTAGAGACCATAGCCTTGCCTTACTGTCAAAATTGGGCTGGAAACTCATTCACAGCGAAGGTGGGCTGTGGATAGAGGTACTAAAAGCTAAGTACCTGAAAAGCCTTCACTTCCTGAATGGGAAGAAGACTAGCAGAGCCTCTCCCGTGTGGAGAGGCATGATGAACTCTACAGGTATTTTAAGAAAAGGTGCAAAATGGTCCATTGGTGATGGCACTAATGTTAACCTTTGGAAAGATTGGTGATGTGGGGAGAGACCCATTGAGGAGGTCATGACCTCAATGTCTCTCACACTAGCTGATACTGCCATATCCAAGGTTAGGGATATTATTGATGCGGATGGTGATTGGGATGTAAACATTATTAATCAAATTTTCCCCCCCACTGTGGTTGCCTCTGTTTTTAAAGAGAAAGGCCCCAAATATAATCCTAACCTAGATCTACTGGTTTGGAAAGGGGCTCCTGATGCTTCATTCTCCACTTCTAGTGCTTATGAGGTGGCTTCGAACTATGATGGCAAAAGGGTGGATTGGCACTGGATGTGGAAAAACAAAGTCCCACAGAAGCTCAAAGGCTTTTTCGAGTTTGCTTCAAAGCTAAGGAAATTTAGACTGCTCTCCGAAACCCACACTGGTATCTGCAGATGTCTGATGCGAACTGGATGCACTGGTTGCTAGCTAACTGGAAATCAAATGATAAATTTGGAACCCAGTCTTCCTGGAGCACTGTCTTCTTGGTGCTTATGAGGTGGCTTCGAACTATGATGGCAAAGGGGTGGATTGGCACTGGATGTGGAAAAACAAAGTCCCACAAAAGCTTAAAGGCTTTTTGTGGACTATCTTACATGGAAAACTCCTTACTAATAGTATGAGAATGAAAAAAGGTCTGTCAGATAATTCTTGCTGCCCCTTTTGCAATGAACCTGAAGATCTCAATCATCTTTTTCGAGTTTGCTTCAAAGCTAAGGAAATTTAGACTGCTCTCCGAAACCCACACTGGTATCTGCAGATGTCTGATGCGAACTGGATGCACTGGTTGCTAGCTAACTGGAAATCAAATGATAAATTTGGAACCCAGTCTTCCTGGAGCACTGTCTTCTTGGTCACCCTATGGAAAAATTGGAAAAACAGGAACTTGCATGTGTTCGAAAACAAGTTGTCTAATCAGTTTGAAAGCTTAAAATTTATTTTTGATTATTCCACTGAAATTGATTCTGCTTTCAGTTCTTCTATTCTTAATCCTAGACCTCCATTTAGATTAATTACTTGGCATCCCCCTCTTGTAGGTACCCTAAAACTAAACACTGATGGCAGCAAATGGAGCAGTGGACCAAATGGCTTTGCGGGTCTTATTCGTGATGAAAGGGGAGCTTGGATTTGCGGATATTATGGGAGGATGGGCAGCTGTACCAGCCTTGAAACTGAATTGTGGGGGGTATACAAAGGACTGACCATCATTCTCCAAAAAGGCTTCAACAACGTGATTGTGGAAACCGATGCTCAGGAAGTTGTCAAGCTGCTTGAGGAAGGCCCTGGAGACAAACACCCTTACAGAGGTTTGGTGGAAGATGCGAGGATCATATTCAATGGCTGCCAATGCACTGTCCAACATGTCTATCGTGAAGGGAACTTATGCGCGGATGCTCTAGCCAAATTGGGAACTGCACAACCTGAAGATATCTTAGTTGTTAATGAGCCCCGAGCTGAGATTCATGAGCTGCTTGTGGCTGATATGCTGGGGATGGGTAGAGAGAGGGCCTAGTCCCATGTGTTTTGTTTTATTTCCGTTGTTTCAAAAAAAAATAGAGTATCACGTCACACTAAATAACTTGAGACTCCCACATCACAGGTTGGAGAAACCTAGACAACTTGAGACTTTTCAAAAAAGATAAGTAACACGTAAGAGGTGTTTTTACATTAAAAACGTCTATGAACCCCACTAAAATTATCCAAATTTATTCCGCATGCAAATGTGTTATTAAAATTAAATTTGTATAGTGTGAGATTTATGTGTAAAATAAATTTGAATCACAAGATGATAATTCTAAATAATTAAGTCTGCGTTTGTCATATTACTGTTTTAGAATCAGTCCATGAAACCCGCTTAAAGTATCCCGAATTTACCCCGAAGAGAACGTGTTGTTGAAATTAAATTTGTGTAGTGTGAAGTCCATATGTAGAATAAATTTGTATCACAAGATTATAATTTTAGATAATTTTTGAGTTACTCACCGAGTGGGGTGGGGGTGGGAGTGGGAGTAGACATCAGCCTGTTGACCTGCCTAGCCCGATCCTATTTTTTTTTTTAAATTTAAAAATGTTTTACTTTATCTTTATTTATTTTATTGAAACTCATATTTGTAATGATATTTGATTAAATTTATTTACAAAACCTTTCAATTTATACACAAAATCTTTTAATTTATAATAATGTCAGTATATTTATTTAAAAAATATAATGTGTAATTAAATTTAATTATGTAATGTTTTAATATTTTTTTAAACATATAGTTCGATGGGTGAGCTTGAGATTTATAACTATTTTTTGAGTCAAATTTAGACAGAAGTAAATACCCAATATTAGGACTGGATTGGACTTGAACAAACAACAAAGCTTATTATCGTGGATGTGGTCGAGGGTTCAAGGGCGTGAAAATCTGCTTGGACGATCAGAAATGAGAAGGGACAGAGAGCATTATCGTGGCCACTGTCCTTGTCTTCACGCAATAATATATATGATCACAACAGTGAGCCCTTCCCTGCTTTCCCCCAAAATATCATCGTACAACGTGGCAACATGCCTATGCTCCAAATCACACCACACCACACCAATGTTTTCTACCTATCTATAAAATGACTCTTGTGGTTGTGACTTCAATTCAAACATAACCCTACCCTTTAATTCAGCAATACATGTAAAATTTATATAAAATCACTCTATTGATAAACACATTAAACTGTATTATACTCAATCAACAACCCAAGACGGATCTTTTTAACCTGTCATTTTAAACATATTTTTGGTGGGGAAATGATATTCATGTTAGTAAACATAGAAAGGGACATTAATTAACAGGTGTCCCAATAGATAAGCGATTGACATGAATATCAACATCACAAGGGTGTACAGCTGTACTACTTCCCTTCCCTTCCCTTCCCTTCCCCTCCCCCACCACCATATCGCATCTACGATACAGCTTTCACTCTCCCACTATATACATCTCAAATTTAATCTTATTAATTAAAGACACTTTCATTCTCCAAATTAAGTTTTTAAGTTCACCAAAACACTCATGCTTAAGAGAATGTTGGCAAATTCCACCTCTACTACTACAGCAACCACAAAAGCACAAGTTTCTTTATCGGATGGAGATTCAGAACTCCATCCCATGACAAGCATATGGAAGAACAAGAATACGAACAAGAGAAGATTCAACAACCAACAAATCAAGTTATTGGAGTCCATGTTCGAGTATGAGTCAAGGCCTGAGCTGCAGATAAAACAGCAACTGGCTAATGATCTATGACTCCATCCCCGTCAGGTTGCTATATGGTTCCAGAACAAAAGAGCTATATCTAAGTCGATGCACTAATGAGCAGTTACGACACTCTAGCTTCTAAGGTCGACTCATTGAAGAAAGAATCAGTGTTTACTCATCCAGGTAATCATTCTAATCTCTACGTGAACATTATTAAAACAGTGATTTATCCCATTCAGATTCTTACAAAGATACTTTTGTTGATCATCAGCTGAAGAGACTCAGAAATCTAATGGGTAAGCCAGAAGGGAGCACGAATCATGGGATGGGACAAACTCAAAAAAGCATTGATGAACAATATGATAACACGGATGCCAACACTGAAGCAAAAGAGAACAACCTTCTATATGATTGTATCAACAATGAAAACCGGATAACCATGTGCGATGATAGTAGCAAAAACGTAGAGAATTTTGTTGAAGAACCTGACATTCTGAATGTAGAACTGGTACCTGATGGTTCTTTGACATCATATGGAAACTGGTGCAGTTTTTGAGTCAAGTTTTGCGTCTAGTTGTGTTCTGGACCACCCGAGTTGTAGTTCACAATGGTGGTAACTTTAGACATTTTTCGACTTTATCGATAGCATTTGCACAGCGGCTAGTTACTAGTGTAAGAAAAAGCATGTCTCACTCTTACTGCGTCTCGAATTAGCATTTAAAGATTAAGCCTCCACAAAAAGAGGTGGATAAGGAAAGTATCTTAGTAAATTGTGGGGAAGGAGAGATTGAAAGACCTGCATTGAAGAGATGTTAAGAATTACCAGCATACTATGCATGCCAGCTTGTGTCTATTCATGTGCTCTTGAACGTGTTAAAACCTTCCTACCATAACTAGTTTCATTCAAATTGACAGAAATTGTCACACGCACTTATTTTGAGAGTTGACATAAATAAATAAACAAATCAAACTACAATGCAAAAGGACAATTATACCTTTGTCTTCATCTTCTTCACATACCTAATTTGAAAACCCTATCCCTTGCTTTCATTTTCTTCCCTTCCTCGCCATCTCCCCTCTCCTGCCACTCCCACCACATCCCTCCCCTCCCCGGCCACAAGGAAGTGATTTCTTGTTCTATGATTAAGTTTGGTTTTTTGATATGCTAATAATTGCTTGCATTAAGCCTTAGAATTCGATTTTCATTTTGTGTTTCTGAGCACATATTACCTATCTTCTCCTTTTGCTCATTGCTTATCGATAGTAAAAACCCTAGGGATTTGTATATTGTTATGTACCTATATGTGCCTGTATGTATATATCAGTTTGCCACTCTACAAAATTCAATGATGACAGTCCTATTACATCATCTTTTTGGTCATAATTATGGAGGATTAGTCATACATTGATGGAGAATGAAAACAAAGAAGACAGATTTATAAGAAAAAAACAGAGGGCATTAAAGTAATTTTACATTTTCAATAACATAGTTAAAATTGCGCCTTAGTCCCAAATCATTTAAGAATGAAATGACTATTTTATATGTGAAGGAGGTGAAGCGTTCCTAGGCCAAACTCTAGGAAAGTAAAATGAATTTTGCGCTAAACTCTTTTAATCAGTATTCAGTGAAGGAATTTAAGCAACAGCATCATTTACATAGGATCAAAATTTATGTAACCATAATCAGTATTTAGTGGAGGAATTTAAAAAACGCAATCATTTAAATAAGTTTAATATCCATGCAACCACTTACGGAACATCAATATATGTTATTGACAAACACTGAGATTACTGAAGGAAAATCATACCAATAACAAAATTAACCTTGTTCTTCAATGACGATGGTTCTTATAGCTCGGGCTTGACTTTCACATCTCCATTTGGTAATATACTCTGTGCTTGTGCAATCCGTTTTGATTCCTGCAATAGATGTTAGAAGCTTAGAGCCTTTAACAAAAAGCACAAACCAGCAACAAAGATCGAGTAACTCAAGTACATGCAAAACCTAGCTTGATATTTGTAAGGGTAAGAAAAAATTTCAAAGTTTCTGAAAATGATAAATGCAGCGATTTTAAAACATGCTTGTCTAAGGATGCAGGTTGGGTAATTTAGAGTTCAGTTTGTCATTTAATTAATAGACTAGAAGGTTCATGCTTTTCTTCAGCGCCATAAAATTCAGAGGCTTAAACTAATTAAAATTTACAAATTGTTATGCATGTACATCACACATTTTGCAACACAATCTCGAAATGCATTTTCCATCAATATCCCACATGCAACTAATTTGTTTATAAACTTTTTTAAACAATTATAAGCTAGCTACTCATATTCTTTCTTTGCTATGAACTCAGCCATTTAGATATATCATCACAACAAACTGGATAAAGAAGAATGCATCAAAAATCTTGTAAAAAGAGAAGTTGACACCCTTAAAGTGTAACTTACAGCTGCAGAAGTAGCTCGAATCTCCCTATAAGATTCCACTTCATCTGGAAATGCCTGTTCAAGTTCCTCTAGATGATGCTTCCGTAAACTCTGAACACAAGCAGGACAATGATAATTGCATTCAAGATCAAAAGTGCATGCAAAATGATGGTGCAATCTTGTTAACAAGCCTTTTCAACAAGAATGTAAGAACCAAGATGGCAGGTCAGGTATGGAATCAAAGTTCACTCGAATTCAAAATATGGGAGATTCTCAATGTCATAGTTGTACCTACTAATAACTATGATAACTATGACATCGACGTTAAAAGACATACACCACCGCTTTTACCTTAATACAGAGTAACAAGAAGAAAATAGAGGACAAGAAACATGATATTGAAGACTAGTATTGAATTATTCAAACACTTGTCATCCAGAAGCAAGAGGAAAAGGGTTCAATAGCAGGAAGATAACATTCCATAAACTATATATTGGTTTACAGAAAAGAAATAAATAGATCCACCATAGTGTTAAAAAATATATAAACAGGGTATGATGAAGAGAATTAATGTTGGATTGGAAGCAACTTGGGAGGGAAAAAGCAAACCTTGAAGGCATCGGTTTTGCCTTTGGTGATCTGGTTTTTGGCAATGCAACCATTCAACACATCCCTAGTGAATTCATCCGGATTCTTCCCCTCATCAATTAAACTAAAAAAAAAAAAATACCCATTAACATAAAAATAAAATAAAGAAAAAAAAATAAAAATAAAAAATATATGTATAAACTCACTTGAGGACCTCCATGGGGATCTGGATATCGCACTTGTCAACCATTTTAGTCATGGTGTCGAGCTCCAAAACAAGCGAATTCCTGCAATTACAAAATATGAAAAACTGAATGATGTGTTTTTTGAAGAAAGTTGGAATAAAAGAAAAGAATTCGAGGAGGAGGAGAAGGTACAGGCGTTGGAGGAGGGGGAGTTGGGAGGCGGCGTTGAAGGAAGAGACAGTGAGGTAAAGCTGGTGGATAAGTCCCAGAGTCTTCTGTATGGAGTTGATCACTTGGTTTAGGTTTTGCTTCGGATCGTTGCCTGTTCTTTCGGTGGTCGATGCTTCGCTGTTTTGCTGAGGATTTATAATACCACCAGAGTTCTGTGAGGAATCCATACTCCTTTGATCTCCTTGCAAATTGCAATTCTCTCTCTCTCTCTCTCTCTCTCTCTGCGTGGGGTGGGGGATTTTTGGGGAAATTGGTCGCAACCCTACCCTTCCCTTCCCTTTGGCGGTGGTGGTGTTGACGCTGTAACTTCTTATTATTTATTATTATTTCATAATAATTGATAATACAAAAGTAAATTTTAAAAAAAAATAAATAAATAAGATTGATCTCCTTGCAAATTGCAATTCTCTCTCTCTCCCTCTCAGCGTGGGGTGGGGGATTCTTGGGGAAACAGGTGGCAACCCTGGCTAGGGTTGAGTTATATACACACACCTAATCCCCTCAAACACGCTTAATAATTTTATCCCTAAGTGAAATTTACTATGTTTGGATTCATTTTTTTAAAAACAGTTTTTAAAAAATTTTAGGGTATGTTTGGTTGTATTTTTAAATTAGTTTTCAACATATAAACTCGCGCTTCACATTTGAATAGAACACTCAAAATAGATTTCCGCGTGTGAATTCAAATTATAGTATGAAAACATGTTTAGCAGGTTGTATCTCTACTTTCAACTCTTGTGCATTCTTTCATGTCCTTCTATGTCGTCTCCATCGTCTCTGAAATATTCACGTGAAGCTCATCTCTGTATCAAACATCAGTCCTTTATATTGATCACGGGTAGGCTTGTCTATCAAACATCAGTACTTCAGATACTTCAGATTCATCACAGGCACTTCAGATTCATCACGGGTGGGCTTCACAGAGAAGACTGATTTTATAAATAATGAATCCACCCAACCCGCTCTATACTGGTATCATCTTTCACAAATCGAGTTCCTTACGATTTGTGCGTTGTGGAAGATTCTTATTACGGGCAACGAAACAACGACGACTGCGACGTAAAAGAACTCACAAATTTATTTACGTATTTTGTTATACGAAAATGATTTGAAAAATTCATCCCTAATTTTATTTTATTTTTCTTTCAGGTCAAATTGATGAAATTTATTGTCGAATCCGACGAAAAAACAGTGCTACCTTAAGTCAGTATACACATTCCATCACCGGCGATAATTATTCAAGTCCCACGAATCTAGTAAATATATCCTTCAACTGCAAACGATTTTATACAAGTCGAAATCAATTCTCAAATATTTTCTGAGAAGTGTAAGGGACTATTTTTTTTATTTTAAGATGTTTTCTATTTCCCTGAATTGTTTCACCTTTTGCGAAGAAGAATAGCAGTAAGCTGCTAAATCGATCTGAATCTGTTATATATAAATAATTTTTGAGAAGTTAAAATCAGTTCCCAAATGGTTTCTCATAATTTGTGGGCGCCTATTTCTCATTTCAGATCGGTTGTTGTTTTGAATTGTGAGCTGTTTGAACCTTCTGCAAGAAAAGAACTTCTGAACAACTTGTACCTGGACACCCGGCCGGTCTTCCCCGGGGTCATCCGGCCGGTCGACCGGCCGGTCGACCTACCCATCCCTTTTTCAACTTCACTGGTTTATTTACTGGTTTTTTTCCTACTTCATTTTCTACCCGTCCCATTTTCCTTACATCTTTTTTACTGGTTTTTTCCTACCATTCAAAGATAATGTTAGCTGATTTTTTTTTTATTAGTTGTGGTTATATTTCTGCTATTTGAATTGAAGTAATCTGTTACGCTATTTTTTTCCTTTAAATAACCTTACATCTTTTTTACTGGTTTTCTCCTACCATTCAAAGATAATGTTACCTGATTTTTTTTATTAGTTGTGGTTATATTTCTGCTATTTGAATTGAAGTAATCTGTTACGCTATTTTTTTCCTTTAAATAATATCATCTGCTGTTTTTTTTATCTGTGTTCTCTTTGAAATCATTTTGCTCTGTTATGATCTGTTTGTGTTGTATATCTATCCCAGACTAGTTTAAATTTCATTTGTATGTTTATAGATGGATGAAAATAATTCTGATGACAACCAAGAAACAAAAATGTGGACGGCTAGAAGTGAAACAAAATTAATTAATATGTTGAGAGATGAGGTTAGAAAAAATCAAACAACTGGCCGTACTACTTCGTGGACAATTAGGCATTGGAATCATTATGCAAATCAGTTGCACAATTTGTATAGATTTCGGTATACAGCAACACAAGTGCGCCAAAAATATCAGCGATTGAAAGCTGATTATCAGACATTTAAGCGACTCCAGGCACAGACTGGTCTGGGATGGGATCCAATTGTAGGCACTGTTGTTGCAAATATCTAAAAAAAAAAATTTATTAAATTTAATAATTAAAATATTTATTTTTATTAATTTGTTTAAAAAATAGATAAATAATTTAAATTGAAAATAAACAAAACCAAAAATAAAATTTAGAGCTTTATAGTGTGGTTGAGGCCAAGTGTAGTCTTTGTACTCTGAACTAGTGGGTGGCACGCACGATGTGTGTGTGCAATTTAAATAAGTAGGAATAAAAAAAATAATAATGAAATTAATATTATAATGTGTACTTAGTTTAAGTGGTATGAGTCCTCGTACTTAAACCCATAGTCATGGGTTCAAGCCTTGCCCATCTCTTTGTTTAACTTTTTTTTTTAAAATAAAAATTTTTTTTTTAAAATAAAAAATACTGCCACATGGCATGAGGAGAGTAAAGATTCAAGACACCATAAGAGGTGTTCACTTTATAATAATATAGATATAGATAGATAGATAGATGAATACCAAAAATCAGGCCCCAAAGTTTCCCGAGTCCATATTGATGGTTGGGTTCATATCATAGATAGCAAGGGGGTAGGAGGAATTTGAATTTGAACCCATTTAGAGGTAAGAGGCCCCAAAAAACAACCACACCACGTAATAGCTTGCGGAGTTAGAAGCTCCTACATGAAATCAGGCTTTCGAAATTGTGAAGTCAATGGTGTTCAAATTAATATCACTAATTAATATTTTTTTGTCAAGCCAAAGATCAGACAAACCTTACCATTTGATACCAAACTGGGCTTGCTTTGTTAACAAATGTCAACTTGACTGCTAATCACTTATTTGAATTATTAAAGGGACAATTTTTATTTTTCTACGGTTCAATTTTGAATTCCCCAAAATGAAGAGAGTGAGAGAAGAGAAACCAAGTGATTTCTAAACAAAAATGTAAGGCTTCGTTTGGGAAGCAAAAGTTGGGATTTTTTTGGCTATTTTAGTCATAAAAAACAAAATAAGCTTTTTAGCCCAATAAAACAAAATATCACATCCAACCCATGATCATTACATTCTTTCTCTCACAAAAAAGTCAAAAAAGCCTAAAGTCTAAAGCCATTCCCAAACCAGGCTTTTTAGCCCCAGGCTAAAATAGCCAAAAAAACCAAAATGCTAACTCACTTTTCAAACGAACCTTAGTACTAAAGGAAAAAATATATATAAAAAAGTTATTTTAGTAATATAATTTTTGTATTAAGCTTTAATGAAATAATAGCGAGAGAAATGTAAATATTTTTTCTTTTTTTCTTTTCTCTCTTAACTTAACAAATCATTTATTTTCTTTTTTCCTGAATTTCCAAATAGACTGTCACTGGGATGGCAACAGGTTGGATTTTTTCAGATTTCACACACGAATTCTTCACTTTAAACTCAACTATGTAATGATATGATTCCATACTTTACCTTAAACTTGATATGTGAGAATCCGAATATAAAAATTTAATAAATAATATAATAATGATATTACAATTCCAAATATTTTTGTAGTGAATATTAAAGTGCAAATTAAATATTTGGAAGGTCTTGTAATTAATTTTAAAACCTAAAATAAATTTAGGGTGAAAGTCTTTAATTTAGAGGCAAAATTTATTATATAAAAAATAAATAAATAAATTTAAGTGCCAAATTAGTAAGTATATTTTGATCTAATAATATTTGTATTTAATTTAAATTAATGGCGAGAGAAAATAAATTAAAACAAAAGATAATATTTTAGGGCCTTTTGTGTAGATACATATGTAACCCTAAGTTGCCTAATACAATATAAAATCAAAACAAAACCCTACCTTCTTATGTGAGTTAGAGAGATAGAAACGAGAGAAGGAAAGAGACGGCAAAGGAATTGTTGGGTTTGCAGCTGTGTGTTTTCTTATTCTTTATATTTAGTGGTGGATTGGCTATGCCGTGAAGGAGTTAAAGAGAGAGGTATTAGTATTTAGGGCAAGTTTGGGATCTTTCAAAAAAGATAAAAAGACAAAAAATTACTTAAAAAGTTAAAAAGTTAACACTATTTATCAAAAGTTAACAATTACGGCTGCACAACTCTCAATTCGAATTTTTCCCTACAAATCAATTTTTACAATTTTTTATTACATATTTTTCCATAAAAAGTCAAAAAGTTAACCCAAACATCCATATTTTTAACCTCAATTTTTTAGTCCAAAAAAACAAAAAGTGCACTTATTTAGGACACTCCAAACAACCCCTTAATAATGGATTTTCTTGTGTAAATGGGTTGCTGGGAAGTTTTGGATTGCAATGGTAGATGGAAATTCTTGATCCTAAAAAAACATAAACTTTAAATTTTGAGGAATCATATCAAATGAATGAATTTTGAACTAAAATTTTTACAGTAGATCAATTACATATTGAACTGCATATCTGAATTTTTTCATAATTTTTGGGAGTCAAAATCCATATAAATTGAGGTATTCAAATCTGTCCAGGAAACAGTCCGAAATAGTAACTTTGGAAGTGTTGTTCTCTTTGGGTATAAATCCAAAAATTATCAAATCAGCGTCATTAGAACCAGTTACGAGTCTAGTTTCTTACATTTTTTACCTTGCGTTGATTGCTCATGTATACTAAGAGAACCGTCAATTTCTTTAAAGTGCTGCAGAAAACAACCTGTTTGGATATAATAAATTGTAGATAATTATTTTGATAAGCAAATCAAGTGAAACCAATTGGGTTTGGAACTTGGGATATATTAGTTGATATCTTGAGGGTTTTAGAATTTTTCGAACAACGTGGAATGGGTTTCTAATTTTTAAAGTTAGCGAATAGATTGGAAAAATTTTGTTTTATCTTAAAGTCACTTTTAGTTAAGTTTCGATCGGAACCTATGTCTTGGGTGATTTTAGACCTTGAAGAACATGAACTTAGGTAATATTTAAGAGTAATGGTGAGTTGGATTGAGTCGTGTTAGTGCGCTTTAGTTTGGGGTTACTTAGTTCGTATTCTTTAGTATTTTTAAATTAGTAGTGACGTGTAGTTTTCATATTTGGTTCAAGGCACTAGTTGGAATTTTATACTCTATTCGAGGATTACATTATTTCGTTTCCAGGTGAGTAGTTTCATGCTACATATTTTTATAAATGTTCCCCTACCCTGAATTGTTGGAAAATTAAATTGTTGTTTCATGACTAAACTGTTTTGATAAATTATTATATTATCAATTGAATCAAATTATTTCTGAAACACGTGTGAACTTGGCATACTGTAAACTATTTGTTTTGGTCTCATGTTTATAATGATGAACTACCATGTTTTGCGAAAACTGATGTGTATTGATTACTGGGACCATGTGTGTATTTAGTCCAGGGAAATTATTCCACTGTGTGTGGTGACTCTGACGGAAAATGTCGTTTATCATGTTCTTGCGAGACATGAGTATTTTAAGTGTTGAATTGTGGAACCTTCTTTTTGAAACAGATTGTATTTACCAAACTGTATGCCAATCTAGTTTCTGTAATATATATCTTATTTTGGAATTGAACCCTGTTTTCAAAACTGTATTTACGATCCATGTTGCTACTCACTGAGCTATCAACTAACTTAGTTGTTTACCATTTCCAGGTGTTAGAAGGACTTAGAGTGGACTCATGGCGTAGCAGGGACTCAATTGCATGGACCTCTAGGGCATTTATATAATTTGTTTTAGGTTGCTTTGTCGGGTTTTGTGCAAACACTGTGGTTGGGTTTTATTTAGAATTATTTTATTTTGTGGGCGGTTTGTGTCCCATTTAGTATATATATATTTTTAGGAAGTTATGACTTGTTTTTCACTTGTGGTATGTCACTGGATTGAGTGTTGATTTATTTATTTCTGGGCTATCATCACATTCATTCTTTATGGTTTTGGGTTCATGTTTAGGCTTACGTGTGCCTTGGGCTAAGTCCCTGTGGGCCACGTCCGGTCATGCTCGGATTTGGGGTGTGACATGATAATTTTGACCAACATACCTATATACTTTATCCTAATTTATCAATACTCCCCTAAACTTTTTTTTATTAAAATCAAGTTGGGACAAATATAATTGAATTCGGTAATTTTGCTTTTGCAATGAATTTTGTAAGCTTCCCAAATCCAATGGTATATTTTCATCTTTCATTTTCTTCTTTTAGAAACAAATAAAATGAAACTAATAATAAAGATTCTCGTAGTAGGCGCGTGCACTTATAGTTCTTGATGGGAATATATATATACCCAACCAAAGCTCAACCCAATAGACTGCCCTTTGGTGGTCTCTTGAGCTGAACATGAGCAAATGATGAGCATGATCGACAAGGAAAATAGTGGCCAAACCAATTAGAGTGTGGCACCAAACTAACCAGGTCATATTGGCTGAGTAGACCCCAGTGGTCAGACCGACCATACCAGAGTATGTTGAGCGACCAAAGTGTGCATAGAGCAAAAAAAGTTGACTTCGAGAGTGAACAAATACAACAACTCCTAAAAGTGTATTTATAAATAACGCCAATAATCATGCCATACAATCATTTGTTATAAAAAAAAATTAATGGGGAGTTTTTTATAACTCTCATGACTCTAACGACTTTTATATAAAAGAATATAGACCACAAGGTAAAGGGTGGATTTCTATCTTCTTGTCTCTCTCCTCTTATTGAATATCTAAAAATTATTATTGAAAAGACAAGATCATTACCTAAGCATCAAAAAGCCTTAAGCTAATACCATACCAGTGTCACTCAGATAGTTCTTTCTATTTTTTGTAGATGTGTGAGAGTATATTAGGGATTTTATATATAAATATATGGTAGTATATATATTTTGTATATTGAAATAAGTTGTATTTCCTTTTTCGTTCTAGGGTTAGATTGTTATATAAACCACTATATTCTTGTATTACGATTACAATTGAAT